ACCCCCTGGCACAGCCTGGCTCCTGCAAACGGGTGTCACTATAATTAAACACCAGAATGGAACTGGGGGGAAAGGCAAGGAGGAGAGGAAGAATAAATGTTAATTTTCCAGTTTAGAAAATGTGAACTCCTGTTTGTACTCCTTGGGCTTCCCATTACTGAGAGATTTCTTATGTGGGCCAGGAAGTGCTGCCAATCCATGGCTGGGAAATCCAGTGAGCAATGGCTTAGTGACAGCACTGCCAGCAGCCCCCTGGCTTATTTTTACTGGATAAAAATGACACTTTAGAAAAATAGACAGAGGGGAGCAATCCAGCTCAGGCTTCCAAATAGGGAGAGAGTAGCTTTAGATTAGAGATTGGGCAGGAATTGTTCCCTGGGAGGGTGGGCAGGGCTGGCACAGGGTGCCCAGAGCAGCTGAGGCTGCCCCTGGATCCCTGAAAGTGCCCAAGGCCAGGCTGGACAGGGCTGGGAGCAGCCTGGGACAGTGGAAGGTGCCCATGGAAGGAACTGGATGAGTTTTAAGGTCCCTTCTAACTCAAACCAGTGTTGTATTCTCAGCCCAGAGCACTGCGTGCCATGTCCAGTCATTCCTTGGACACCTCCAGGGATGGGGACTCCACCCCTCTCTAGCAGCCCCTTCCAATGTATAATCCCATTTTCTGTGAAGAAATTCCTCCTGATGCCCAAAGCCAGACCCTCCATGGCAACACCGACCTTCATGTCCGGACATCCACACGGAGCCCGCATTGCACAGGGCAGCTCTGCCCTGCTCCGGCCTCATCCACCTGGAACGAGGACACTTTTCCCCCATGGATCTCATCACCTCCCTCCCTAATGGGCACAGGGGGCTTCAAGGGATAAATTTGCCACCCACCGTTAAAAATAAATAAATAAAAAAAAATACAATCCCCTTCCCTCAGCCCTGAGGGGAACAGCCCTCTCTGGCGATCCCTGAGGGACTCCTGAGGCGCCTTTGGCCGCCTCGAACAGCACCGGCCCCGGCCCGGCTCCTACCGCGCACAGCGGGACCCGGCGAGCCCACAGCGACACCGGTCCCGGTCTGGGTCCCGGTCCCGGGGGTCTCGGTGTCGGGGATCCCGGTCTCGGGGGTCTCGGTGTCGGGGATCCCGGTCTCGCGGGTCTCGATCTCAGTCCCAGAGGTCTCGATCACGGTCTCGAGGGTCAAGGTCTCGGTCTCGGGGATCCCGGTCTCGATCCCGGTCTCGAGGGTCTCGGTCTCCGTGGTCCCGGTCTCGGTGCCGGGGTTCCGGTCTCGGCCCCTCCCCGGCCCGGCCCTCCCTGCCCTCGGCGCCGTTTCCAGCCGGCGGCGTTTGGCGGGCGCACGGCGGGAGCTCCGAAGGGAAGGCGGCGGGAACGGCTCCGGGATGTCGTAGGTGTCTGGGGAGCGGGGCAGCGCTGCTCTCCCTCTCCTTTCTTCTCCTTTCTTCTCCTTTCTTCTCCTTTCTTCTCCTTTCTTCTCCCTTCTCCGTGCGCCCTCTCTCCCCTTCTTCTTCTTCCTCCTCTGCCTTCCCCTGTTCTCTTCCCTCTCTCCTCTCCCTCACGGGCTCCGCAGGACGCCGTGAAGGCAGCGCAGCTCCCGGCGGGCTGCGGCTCCCGAGCGCTTTCCGTGAGGGGAAAAGTGCGCTCGGAGTGGGCCCGGGGAGGGGAGGAGCGGCCGTGAGGGGCGGGATTTGTTTCCAAATGGAAACAGACCGGGAAATGCTGGCGGTGCTCGCTCCCTGCGGGCGGGGATGGCTGCGCGGTGATGCTGTGGGTGAAACTCTCGCTAGTCTGCTTTTCTGAGGGGTCGGGGGCGGCTCTGCTCAGTGACAGGACGAGAAGCAATGGCCGTACACTGAAACACAACGAGTTCCATCAAGAGTCTTGTACACTGAGGGAACAGAGCTCTGGAGCAGCTGCTGGAGCCTGGAGACATTCCAAAGGCTGTGTCACCTGCTCAGGGTGGCCCTGCCTTACCAAGGGGGGTTGGACTGGATGATCTCCAGAGATCCTTTCCAGTTATCCTAATTCTATATCTCTCTACACACCGTGTATAACACCCGTGAGTGTGTGGGAGAGGGGCAAGAAGAAGAATCACAAAATGGTTCAGCTTGGAAGCGACCACAGTGCATCATCCCCTGCACATGGCACAGGCCGGCATCCAGGCAGGTCTGGAATATCTCCAGTGAAGGACACTCCACACTCTGGACAATCAATTCCAGTGCTCAGTCACTGCACAGGAAAGAAGCTTTTTCCTCATATCTAAGTGGTACCTCCTGGGCATCATTTTCTGCCCATTGCATCTTGTCCCATGGCTGGGCATCACCAGGCAAAGCCTGCTCCATCCTCTGACCCCTCCCTTGGCCACCACTAAAAGGATTGGCAAAAAAAAAGCAGGTTTTGATAAGAATTTGTGAAAGTGTGGCTTCAATAGAGTTTGATGGCAAGATTCACTCTGGTGCTTGCTGCACAGATAGGGCATACACAGGAAAATGGGATTAGAATGAATTTGAAATGATTTACACAGAGAGCAGGGATGCAAAAGGGTCACAGGGACAAGGATATGGAAACAAAAGATACAGGTGCAAAAGAGTTTAGCAGCACTTAATCACTGACTGATTTAATATTTATAAAGTGATTCAACAGGATTTACTACAATTACAGCAGAGACTAAATTATAGATTCACACACACTCAGGTGCAGGGATGTGGAATTGCAGGCCTGTGGAAATTAAGGCATGACACCCCCCTGTGCCCATTTTCCATCAGGCTCTATCTCTTCATTTTGTCTCCAATGGGAATAAATCCTGCTCATTTTTCTCCTATATTTTGCAATTTATCAAGCAGTAAGTAATTAATCAAGTCATGTAAGTCTGGAGCTGCTCTTGTGTATCTCTGCTCATCGTGGGCTTCTGGAGATCAATAAAGAAAGTTCTTTAACCTGATAAATACAAGGCACAAGATAATCACTGCAGGTTGTCCAGCTGACTGTAAACGTGTGCCACCATACTCTGCATGGTTAAGAAAATAAATTAAGCCTTGGCAGGCTAATTCAGGGCTAGGAAACTCAGGTTTCTGTCTCCTTTTCTTGTTCCACTCTGACATTTGGTTCTACACCACAGTCACAGTGAACCATATTAAAAAAAATAAACCAAACTAAAAGCGGTGCTCTTCATGTTGTTTCTTAAAATACTTGAGGAATTTTGTTTGCATGTATTGTTTTGTCCCCCACATTCTTCTTTTGGAAGATCTGAGAGAGGACAGTTCAGCCAACAGGGTTTTCATGAGAGGTGTTGGGATGAATTTGGTTTCAGGGTGTAGAGTTGGAGCACCAATTTTAAATTATTTTTATTTAACTTCTCACATTATGTCATTGAAAAGACAATCAGTAAAAACAAGCCCCCAAGCAAGCCAGGCTGTTGGGTGACACAAGGCAAGGTTGATCTCCTAAAGCTAAAATTCAATTTTCCAGTACAATATTCCAGCTCTTTCCAACGTTGAAGAGCTTGGAGTGAGGCTCCATCTCTGCTCCCTTAGTTCAAGGTGCTTGCACAGAGAAATTTGGGCTGTGTGCTGCTCTGTTGCTGTAGACAATATTTGACAGACTTCAAAGAACGTGGCTTTGATCAGTGCACGACTTTCCCCCTAAGAAATGTCCTCAGTGTTTATAATTTAGCAGGATTTTCATGTAGTTTCTCATTTATTTCATCCTACAGCTGTGATCCTGATCCTGATTTTCCTTTGGCTTTCAGCTGCTTTTGACATGTGTCATAAAAACTTCCATCAGAGCGTGCCTTAGTGTAGCATGCAAATGCATTGGCCCCCAGAGCATCCTTGCAGTGTGGATGCATTAATAAATGGAATATTTCTCTGCTGCCATGAGCTGCAAGCTGGAATGGAGTCGGGATTCCTTGAGCTAGATGAGGCTCTCTTTAAAAAAGAAATACATTGTAAAGAATTCCATCAAACTGTTACAGCTTGGGCTGCCCTTTGGCCAGAATTTCAGAGGCTTTTTTAAATTTAAATGTTACCTGTTTACTTGGCTTTTTTAAGGTAGGATATTTCTTTTCCCCTTTTTGTAATAGAGATAGCTGTAAAACAGTTTTCATACAAGACCCTTGCCTGAATTACATATCAAAGATGTGTTTCCATTCTATTTTCCAAATCCTTTAATTTACAATTTTGGAATAGCAACATAAATTTGAAAAGGATATGTTTGGAATGAGGTCATCTAAATTCCTTACATGGCAAAACAGTCTTTTTTCCAAGATGAAAACTGCACTAAGTTCTTGAAATATGATGTATATTCCAAACCTTGTTTAATTCAATGTAATATATTTGTTTCTTGGGAACTGTTCATAGAAAGATTTTTTTTCCCCTCCTCGTTTTACATCATGCTTTAAACTATTGTTAAGATTTAGGAACGTGCTTAAAAAGTTTCAGTTGTCTCTGGGAAAAATAGTCTTAATTTATGTTGACCTTTCTTTCCTTGGAGCATTTCGCCTGCATTCAATAAAATTTTGATGACTGCTCTTTAGCAGACAGCTGTACCATATAAAGTATTATAAATATTCAGCTTTCCTCTTCCAGTGTTGCCATTAACAGCTGGGCATCCAGTTCAGAGGAGCAGATTTTGCAGAGAGAGCTTGGCATGTTCCTGAATCAGGAGAGGGAAGAAGGGAAGCAAACAGTTTCTTATGGTTTGGGGACCTGTAAAGACATAGAGCATCTGTTCCCCAGTTAAGTCATAGTCTGGTAGCACTGAATCATGTTAAGAGCTAAAATGATGGGAAAAACTACTTTTTTCACCTTGCCTGTACCTGTGTCTTGAATGTCTTAAACATTATTTCGACTAATGGCAAAATAATTCCAAGCCTTGCTCAGAAGGTATGTAAATGGAAATGCTTTGGAGGGGGGAGGGTTTTGGTGTTTATAGTCTTGGAGAAAAGATAAATACTCAGCATGATTTCACTTCAGTGGTTTTTATCTCTGGTATAAAATGGAGAATCAGATTTTCTTAGGCAAACACTTTATCCTTCTAAACAAGCAACGTTCTTGGTACAGGGAATGGATTTGCTTTGGATGCCATCAGTAAATGTGAAACCAAAAAAAGAAACTGGCTTTGACATTATCAATTATAGACCTTACTAACAGAAGTCTTTGTGTCTACATGACCATAAAACCTGTCCATGTTTTTCTCTTGCAGGGTTAAGAGAGCATTAAATTTGGAATCTGTTAAAAAAGATGATGTAAGTATTTTTTGATATCTGGAGCCATCTGGGCTGTATAAATATATATGTATATATATCCATGTGCAAAAATAAATGTGGATATAAACAATCTATTTCATTTTAGCTGCCTTTATGTTGTTACAGATTGGATGTTGTCTGGGCAAATCTTAAAGCACAAAATTACTGCTGCAAATATTAGTATAAAATTGATTGTATTTCATTTGTCACAGAACTGCCTGGTGTTAAGTAATGTACATCTGCATGAATCACTTGAAAAATGTGCATATTGTTATTGCCATCACTATTTACCCAAGAGCTGAATGAGTTAAGATCCTTGGTGAAATCATTTATTAGAAATTAGCTCCATTATCCTGGGAAGCAAACGTTCTGCCATGTAATTGTACATGTGACAATATGGAATTATGATAATGCTGTAATCTGCATATTAGAAACAGCAAAATTGAAATGAAAACATTAAAGGCATTTTCATGTCAGGGCTGTAATTACCTCCCTCAGCTAATCTGGCATAATGAAACAATAAACTCCTAACGCTGCCATCAATTTCACCACAGTTATCACAATAAAAATAAAATTGTACTGGTGCTGTTATTTGTTGTAAATGCAGCTCCAGCATCCTCCCAGCCACCAGCATGTCGTGACATATGTCACTTTATTCTCTCCCACGGTGGCTCTTGCTGCAGCCAGCAGTGCTCAGGAGCTGGGGAGGATGGCAGGGTGGAAAGGAAGGAAAATTTTGGGAAAGTACAGAGAGAAAGAGCTGGTCAGCAAACGAGCTCCTCATAAATCTCCAAGCCTGTGCTGTTTTGGAAAAGGTTTTTTGTGTATGCAGCACATATCTGGAGGCCTCACTGCTATTGAGCAAGGTAGAAATTGGCTATTTAAAAAAATTTCTAGATATTTATTTTTTGAAAATTTCAACAGAGGTGGCAAAATACCGCAGTGGCACTAAAAAAAAAAAAAAAAAAAATCATTAGCAGTTTAATTAGCAGCTTAGTGTACCATTACCCAACTTGTTCTGCTCAGAATGCAGCTGTGACTGTAATTTTGCATCTGTTTCTTGGGCTGAAGTAACATTTTTGTAGATGAGTGGTCCAGCTGCAATTCCATGGGATGCTTTTCCTGCCCTAAAGCCAGCCCTGCCCATGAGATAAAAAAGGTTACTCCATACTGAGCTGCAGTTCTTGTGCAGCAAAAAGAAGAAAAAAGAAGAAAAAAGAAGAAAAAAGAAGAAAAAAGAAGAAAAAAGAAGAAAAACCCTCCTGAATTAGAAACTTTTAGTGGAGGTTCAGTGATGTGATTTTTAGTTCACACAATATCTCTGATAGATGCATGTCAAAGATTTAAATTAAATAACTTTATACAAAGAAAGAAGGAACAGAAAGTAGTAAACTCATGGTTTGGAGATGTTTAATCTTTGCTGTTTCTGTCATTCCTTCCCTGTTTTTATCAAGAGTTCCTCGTTCCATGGATCAAAATATTCATGAACTAACCAGATGAGGAATGAGGATTTTTAGATTTTGGGAATCTTAGCGTGGTATTGTTATAAAATAGCTGGAGTAAAATTCTTCTTCTTGGAAGAGAAAAATCTTACTGACAAATAAAAACTGTCCTTGTAAGTGCTGCAGGAATTTTGTTTAAAATAACCTTATCCATACCCAGAAATGGGTGAGGTGACTGCTGTTCAAGCAAGAAAAATAATCTGAAATATTTGGAGATTCTCTATGTTGAAAAGGAGATTTGATGACGTGTTAACCCCTAAATTGACATTGCTACTTCAATTAATATTTCATTTAAAGATGACTGGGAACATTTCTTTAACCTGCTTGAATGTGGCAAGACAGAGTGAGGATTTCCATCAGGTGTGGTTTAAATGCTGCTACAAGAGTATAAATGAGAGGTGTGAAATTATTTCAGATATGTGGGACTAAAACAAAGCAGAGGCAGGGGGGCAGCAAATTCAATCTTTTAAAATCTGCTGGAAGTCCCACAGGTGATGACCAGCAGTAGCATTTGTGGATTGTAAAATAAAGGTTTGGGTTGGTTTTTTTTTATTATTTCTGTACAGAAAATCCCACTTTCTCATCCTTGCAGTTCAGCATCCATTCTAGAGCATGTCCCAGATAATCCCAGTTCATTTTCCAGCACTGCAGACTTGTTCTGAAAACTTCTCTGCACAAATCCTTTAACATCATGAAATAATAATCAGACATATTGAAACCCTGAACCACAGATAAAATTTTGGATTTAAGGGATTCCCTTTGGATTTTTTCAATTCACACTTGTTTAAAAAAATTATTGAAATAACTTTTTATAAAATTAAAATCTAAAAATATTTGTGTCTTAAATTGTCATTACTGGAAGAAAAATATTAACTTGGTTTGGCTGCTTTGAAAAAAACCCCAACCATCGAGGTGGTTATGCCAGAATACCTAAATCCCTGGAAAACACAGATTTTTTTCTTTATGGAACATGGGAGAGAAAATGTTTGAAAGGATTTTTTATCTTTTAGAGTAAAACTAATCTTCTTGAGACGTGATAGAGAAGCTTGATGAGCACAAAGTCACCCATTTAACGTGGGCTTTCCCTGATGGGAACACATAAAGCCAGGAAATACTTAGGAAAATCTTAGGTAATAAAAGTTCAGACGGCCTTTGTGAATATTCACCTGAATGTTTTGGGTCTTTTTTTTTTTAATTTTTCTCCATTTCAGCCACTTGATACAAGCCCCCAGAAGGCCAAAAGGAGGAATCTGGGTTCCTACTCCCCAACCACAGGCACGTGCCAGATGAGTCCCTTCTCCTCCCCCATGAGCCACAGGGCACAGAATGCCAGCAGTGCCCCAGCAGAGGGTGAGCTGCACTTCCCTTGTCTCTCACTGCACCATTTCCTGCCTTTGGGCTGCATTTGGGGACTTCTCTCCCTTCTGCTGTATTTGATTTTTTTCCTCTTGAAGAATCTCTTCTGGAAAAGCCAGTGTTGAGTCTTAAAGCTTGAATAAATCTTGAGGGTGTTTATAAAACAATTGAGTGAGACAATTTTTAATTTACATAACATTGAATGTCATCAGCCCTCAGAAAATACACCTTTGTAAGATTATAATGATATTATTTCCAGTTCACTTTAGGATAAATGTTCACTTAGTCACACAGTCACAATTTTTGACCCTGATTGCTCAAGAAGCAGATTTTCAGTGACTGAGCTGCTTTTATGGCTGTATAAAAATATTGTGGTTGTGGCCTCTTTAAGTGTTGAGGAACCCTCAGGTCACCTGGTTATAAAAAGAAACTTTTTTTATTTTAAAAAGAAGAATACAGAGGTATATTCTGTCATCTTTCCCTATAGAGCTTTTATTTCCTTGCAGTACAACTCTAGAAAAGATGGTTAAGTCTTAGTAACAATAATAACAATAACAATAATAATAATATAAATAATAATAATAATAATAAAAATAAATGCATCACTTCCCTTGTTAGCAAATTCCTTGTTCAATTATTCTAGTTATTAAGAAAAAAAATCCCCTGTCTGATTTTGAATTTGTCTGGCTTTAATTTGCAGCCACTGGTTCTTGTTGGATTACAGAATTTTTTATGCCCCACAAGTTTTGGAATTTATGTACAGTTATTGAGGCCTCACCAACATTCATGAATTATGATGAGTACAAATATCCTGAGCAAGGTGGAACAATTAATCTGGATTAATCTGCAGATTTTAGCTCTTGCACCATTGTCCTCTCCTGATGGATCTGCAAAAGTGGAGCTTCCCTCCAGGATTTTATATTTTATCTTTTTTTAATTCCTGTATTCATATAGCTACAAAATGCTGGTGTGTAATTATTAAATCCCAGGTTGTCCATTTAAACTCACAATTTCTGCTCTCCTTCTAAAACTCCACAGTACAAGTATGACCTGCTTGATAATTGATGACTGATTTAAGTCCAAGTGCTATTGACTACTTAGATTTAAAATGAAATCTTTGAGGATCTTAACTTTCAGCCACTGTATTAAAGCTTCAACTTTCATAGCACTTTATCACCTTGAAGTGTTTCTAAATGTTTTACAAAATATTAAAATTAAAAGTTAATTTATCCTTGAGTGCTGAGACTTGTATGTAATAATTTAGATCTAACAAGAAGAAATCAAAGTGTTTCATGTTGAGTGTGGTCTCTTTTTTTTTTTTTTTAGTCTGATGTCAGGAAGGAGATTTATTACAGTGAAATGTGGAAAGTTCCTCATTCCACAGGGTCTGTCTGGGATCTGTACATTTGTTAAGCCCATGGTAAATTCCAAACCTTTCACTTAAAGGTGAATTTACAAAATCCCCACGTTTTGTCATGTCTTCAACTTCAGCCACTATTAAATCATTTCTGATAGTCAGGTGTGACTTTTTTATTGCTGGAACAAGTATTGATAGACAAGCTAAAATTTTAATCTGGTTTTGTTCTGATCTGATTCCTGTGGGAATTGGATAAGTTATGTAAATTCAGAGTGGCTTTTGTGGTCAGAGGTCACATTTATCCTGCCCCATCCATCATATGCCAGACTGCAATATTATATTGTCAGAAGAGCACATTTGGAGCCTTTGGAAGCAATTCCCAGCATCTTTGTGGTTGTTTAGAAAATGGACTTGGGGTCAGGCAGTTTTTAGAAAGGGAAATGGGAATTTCAGTCATTCCAGCGTTTTCAGGATAATGCTCTATGTTCATCTGCAGTTAATAGGATAAAAAGCTCCTGGAAGAGCCCAGTAAATATCTGCCAGGACGATTCTAACTTTCAGATATTGATGCTGTAATCCCAAGGTTTCCAAAAACTGAGGAGAGGCCAAATTCCAAAAGTGTAAATTATCAATCATTTCGTGTGGTTCATTCCAAGCCCGGTGAGCTTTGGGATTTTTCAGCACTCCGGGTTCACACAAACACCTTCTTCAAATACTCCACATGTGATTTTTATCTTTATTTTGTCTCTTCTTCCCTGTGAGCCTCCCAGGAGGTGGGAATGAGCAGAGCACTTCCAAGAGCGGATTATCCAGGAGAGGGCAGCCTCAAACAGAGCACGATGTGTAAGTGCATTCCGTTGGAAATTTCTTATGGTGTAGGGTTGTGATTTCATCTCTTTTTTGACCACCAGAAAAGTCACTGTGACGTTTATTCACCTAAATATTATGTTTAAAGTTCTGGCTTTTCCTTTTCATTATCGTACTTGAACTCACAATTTGTTTTTGCCACTATTGGATGTTTTCCCACATCGTTAGGCTGAAATTCCTTCACTGTAGGATTGTGTCTTCCAAGTGATGGAGCTGGACAGAATTGTTTTGATAACATTGAAACAGTGGCAAATAAAATAATAGCATTATACCGGTGTAAAACTGTAAATTGATTAATTGGGGGGGTTTTGTGATTCAGTGAATCCTTTGGTCAACACATCCAGCCTCGTTTCTTAGTGACAGGAACCCGGAATTACAGAACAATTGGAGTAACTAGAGGCCTCATTGACATGGAAATGTTTGCATTCAATAATTCAGAATGTTTTTAAAAGGTTTGCAGGAGACCAGCAGTGACATTCAAATAAAAAAAAACGTGTCTAAACCATCACCTACACTTAATATTCATGTGAACTTCCACACACTTAATTTTACAAATGGAAAATACATTGTCCAGTACACTGATATAAATCCTCACAGCTGAACTGGATCCATCCCCATTCCAATGAGAAAAAACTCTGGGAAACATTGCAAACATGGATTTTCAGTGAGTGGGGACATGGATAATTGGAATTGTTTTACCTTTTGCACACAGGTTCCTGCAATTGCACTCTCAAGTGAGAAATTCCTTGCCCAGAATTCTGAAACTAAGAGCAAATCTGACGAGCCTGAAGGTCTGGTTTTCACTGATTTGTCCTTTAAACTACTTCTAATACAGGGTTTGAAAGCAAAATTAGGATTTTATATGCAACGTTTGAGTTTGAAGGGGTAGGGAAACAAATAAAAGTCTTGAAACCAGGCAAGTTGGACTTGGAAATCCAGAAAATGCAAAAAAAAACTTACTGGCTTTTTAAAACTAGACGTGTTGCTTTTCCATGTCCTCCATTTTTAATTTGTGCACAAATAAAACCAATATGAAGTAGTTCTCAATTATTATTTATAACTCGAAATATGAATTTACTGCCTAAATTTTTATGTCTTTGAAGATTAAAGATCCTTTTGTGTTGAAGTGATTGTACCATTTAATTTACCACTAAAGGATCATTATTTAATAGTCCCATATATGTTAAAATGCAAATCACTGCTCTCTTTTATTTCCATTTTGTTTCCTGACTAAATTTAGCACAGGGTTCATTGCTGTACATCAATAGCTGAGAAATAATTCAGTGTACTCAGAAGACTGTGTTGATTTATTTCACGTGGTTTTATTTAAAAAAACACAAAACAAAGCAATGATACTAATTGAAAGTATTTTAATTTCAATGTTTATTTAGAAAAGGAAGAATTAAGTTTATGAACAATTTCCAAATCGGTTTTGGTATGTTGTAGACGTGGAGTAGATATTGGAGATGGGATTTAACAATGATTTTAATTGTTATTTTCCAGGCTTTGGAGGGCAGTAGAGAGCTGGAAAATATCCTTGGAGTCTCACACTCGTCCTGTGTCCTGAGTGCTGAACTGAAGAAAACCCAAGAGCTGGGTGAGGAGGGGGTTCAGAACATTTCTTTATCCCTTTGGAACATTCAGCAGGAATCACTGCAGATGTTCCCTCTGGTGCTCCCCAGGACTCAGGAAAAATGCACCTCAAGTGTCCCTGTGCATCCCAGCAGGGCCATAAAAGCCAGGCACACTGGGGAGGGAAAACCTGGAAAAGCAACACCTTTTCTTATGGAAATGGTCAGTAAATAGTTAGATACTTAGTGGGTACTTCGGTGGGGATTAGGATAAACGTTTGCACTTGGATTGCTTGGCCTTTCTTCTCCCCTTCCGAGGAAGTTGGTTTGTTTGTTTGTTTGCCTGTCAGCAGGATTAGGCTGAATCTAAATTTCCAGCCTTTAAAAATCTCTATTCATGTGTCCTGAAATGATGGACATTCCAGATGCTTGTTGTGTTGGGAGGAGGGCACTTCACAGCTGGCACATCTGGAATCCTTTTCCAAAGGAGCCCAGAAAGCAAACCTGGAGTGCCTGGGCTGCTGCTTTTTGCAGTTGGGAACAGGTGAACAGTAAAGGCACAGGTACCAGAGAAATTTTCTTCCCGAACAGTGGAATTGATGCATCACATGCTGGTGTTTGAATTCCCATTTCTTCCCTGACTTGTATTCCAAAGCTCATCCCGTTTTCCTTCTGCATGGGCATGCACTGCTCTGTTCCCTCTGTAATCCCAGATCCTTTCTGAGGCACGATGGAATTACCTGGGGCCACTCTGGGTTTCCATCGGGATGGGACAGACAGACAGACAGCCAGCTCAAAGGACAGTCAGACCTCTTGCTGCCACTCCTGTGTCCACTCTTTCCCTCTGCTCCTTGGGGAAAAAACATCCTTCCCCCATTTCTGTATTAGGAACCACCTCAGCACAGAAGGAAAAAAAATTGGAACAAAATGTGGGACGAGGCTTGGAAGCACAACTTGTCAGAATTGTCTGAATTTTGAAATTTTTTGTTAATTTTTTTGAACAGAGTTACATAGGCAAGAGGGTTTTTTTCCTTGAAATGCTTTGAAAGTGAAGGAGGCAGCAGAGGTATTATTTTCTTTGAAAGCTCTGGGGCAACATTTGTTGATTTTGGATTTATTTCTTCACTAGTGAGTCAAGCAGAAAAACTGCAGCTGTTGAAAGCAAACCATGGAGAAGTCCCTGCCCGAGGTAAGAAACTCTCCATAACTCCTGTGTAACAGATGTTTTGATTCCTTTTGCTTGGTTTCTTTTCGGTTCTTTTCACTTGAAATAAGTTGGGCAACCTTTAGGATATGAAAACTGTGATAATCAAAAGTGTTTCTTGTGAATAGTCTGCAAATGTAAATGGAATATTTGCTGCTATTTTCATTGTATTGGGTATTTCCCCATGAGACTGTGCAAGGAGAAGGAATCATTCACTCAGAAGAAATCGTGCAGAAGACTTTCCATACTTTTTCTATATCCCAATTATCCTTGTTCTTCCTCATCACTGTGTTTTCAGCATCACAATCTTGCAGCAAAACCTTTTTCACTCTGTGTTTTTTGGGGGATATTTCACCCAGGCTAAGGGGCTGTGAAATCCCAGCTCTGAAGTTTCTTCATAACCAGTGCTGTGAAAATATTTGAAGCTGGTGGTGTTTCATGCCCAGCTGCTTTGGTGCCTTGGCAGGAAGGAGGGGGACACACACAGGACAGTTTAATTCCCTCACACTCACTAAAATCAACAACCACCCTCCAGGGATATTCTGATATTTCTGTTATCTTCACACTTTTCTCTCTGAAAGCAGAGCAAACCCAAAACCAGGAGCACGTCTCTGCTGTGGGGAATTCTCTTAAAGGACAGAAAATGGATCAAGCTCAGATTTGCTGGGCTGCAGCAGATGAGCTGCAAATGAAAAGGAAGGAGCTGGGCTGATTTGTGCAGTGTGCAGGTGGTGATTTACAGCTCCCTGTGTCCTCCTGCTGCAGCTCCTGCCTGCCAGGGCTGGGAGTGCAGGGCTGGCACAGGGAAACAGGCACTGCCTTCGTGCCCTGCTCACCACACTCACATTGAGAATTCCATCCTCACCCCACAAACCAGCCCCCAGCACCAAACACACAGCCAGGCTGCTTAATGGGAGATGTTTTGTGAAGGTAAGGTGGAAAAGAGAATTCTGAGTTAAGCTGACCGATTTTGATGAAGTTCCATTGTCAGTTTTGCTTTGACAAAGAATAAATTCAATTTTGCAGCCTTGGAAATGTGGCAGCAGGAGAGGCAGAGAAGTTTGTGATCAAAGAGAAGCGTCTGGAGATGTTTTCCTTTGCCTTTTCGTTTCAGATGTGGGTTTTTCATAATTACTTTTAATTAGTTTTGGCAAGGCTTAAAACTTATGACTGTTCTGTGGCTTGGTCCAGATGGAGTGTCACATTATTATCACATGGTGAGGCATGAAATTTATTTACTTTACATAAAAAACCTCCTTTTAAAACAACTTCATACAAAACATTCCTGGCTCAATGGGCAGCATTGTGCACAGCTCAGTTTATCATTTTGGGTGACCAGCATGGAAAAAGGGCATCATTGTTTGCCCATGCCTTGAATTTACAGTAAACAAAATGTTTTTTAATAGAAAGTAAGCAAATTGTAAAACAGCTGCCAAGAGATGAATCGAGTCGGTGTCTGGGAGTCCAAAATGTGCTGAGAATGGACGTGTAGGATGGGATGTGCACATTTTAAAGGAAAGTTTCATAGTTTTGGAGATTCCAGGAGTGAAGGTTCTAAAAGGGGAAGCTGCTCCAGCTGCTTGGTACAAAGCACAGGGACAATTTGCTTCCCCAAAACCCTGAGACAAACCATGGCTGCTGCCCATGAGACTGTTCCAGAGATCAAATACTTACAGTGGTGAGGAAAACACTTTCCAGGCTGTGATGGAATAAAAAACCCTTCCTTTTCTGTGGGGCTGTTGATCTTGCAGAGCCCAGGGGCAGATCTGATCCTCTCTGAGTTCTGAACATTCCCAGCTTTCATGGTGGGGTGAATACGAGTGGCTGAGCTTTGTGCTCTTGGGACAGTCGTGGTGGCTTTCCAAGAGACTGGAGCAGAGTTAACTGGATGGATTTTATTCCATGCCATTGAAATCACTGATGAAAGCAAAGCTGGAGAGATCAGCAACCAAAAATCCTGAATTTCCACCTGCCAGTCCAGTTTGGAAGACTGCATTTATGGTAAAACATAAATCCTTTTTCACAACCACTGCAAAATAGAAACACCTCCTTAATAATCAGAGCTCCTCCTCAAACCAAGTGAAAAGGTAAAAAATACAGAATTCCACCATTTATCCCATTTTGTGTCAGTTTGAATTCAGAATTTGGGTGTTCTAAGGTTGAACCACTTGGCTCTGGTGGTTGCTGGGGGTTTATTTTCACATCATTCTCAAATAAAATGTAAATTTGTTGACCTTTAGATGCACTTGGCTGTCTGTCCCACCTTTCCTTCCTCCTCCAGATCTTCTGAGGAAAAGGGGAATACAGCAGTGGATTTTCCCAACTGTAAAACCCTAACCTAAAAACCACATTTCTTCTCCTCAGCCCAACTTTGTATTTACTTACAGGGAAGCAATGCCATCATCCCTTTGCTGGGAAAAGCGAGTCTGGGAATGGCTGAGCAAAAAATTGTAATGCTGGAGGGATCTGGCCTCGTTCATCTGCCCTTCCCTGTGGGACAATATCCCTGTTTGTGCTCCTGAGGCTTTTCTGCCATCACCCCTGGGGCAGGGCTGATCCCAGTTCCTCACTGAGTGGGGAGTGTGCTTTGCCCACTTTGTGTCCTGGCATGGAAAGCTGTTGTTGCTCAGGTTAAATTGGAATTCATGTCTCCTCATTGTGTGGGTTTGAGTTTGTCACCTGTGAGTCCCCCCCCAGTGAAGGAGAGGACACAGATCCCACTCAGCCCAGTCCCCACAAGCTGCATTTCCCAGCAAAGCTGAGGAATTCTGTCCAGTGCCAGCTCCAGGAGCTTCCCCTGCTCCTTCCCAGCAGCATTTGGGGCTGAATTTTACACACAGCAGAGACTGGAGGGGTCTGGGAGCAGCAGCACGAGGAGATTTGGGATGGAAGGAAGGAGAAGGGGCAGCTCCAAGGCTCTGCAGTGATGGAACACCCTGGGCTATGCAGATGAAATATTAAGCCATTAAGTGCAGTGGCAGATCCAGAAATGCACATGAGACATATGACTGCAGGCCCAGACAAGTACACACAGAAGTGTCAACCTGCATTGGAGATTTAGGTGTCAGCCCCATTTATTCACAGATTTCAGCCTTGTTTTTACACTCCATTTTCCTACGTGCCTTTTTAGAGATGCAACAGCTATGAATTTTTAATTCTGGTGGATCTAGTTTAGAGTATTAAGCTTAATGAAAAATTCAAAAGAATTGTAGTTCTTCCAACATGTAGCAACTCCTACATGAGAATAAATACTGCTTTCTCCCATGAATATAATTATTTTAAATAAAAAAGAAAAGAAACATTAGTTTGGACTCACTTAGTAGCAATTATATGTTTAAGAGGTGTAAATAACTTGCTATCCAGACATTACAAATATCCAGGTGCTCTGTATGTGCTGATGACAACAAAATTGAAAAGAAAGACTGTAATAATTCTGACTGGTTTTCTCTGCAGAAGATATTGATTATTTGTGTGTGGTGAGAGATTTGGAAAATTCAATTAAAGGAGTTGTGCAAAGGTTTCATAAATTTCCCCAGTACAGCGTGTACACAGACATTGCTGTGTATTAAATCAATGCAGCACTTCACAATATATTTTCTTTGAAACATAAAAATAAATAACATTTAAACAGTTCTGCTTACTACAGAAACAAATTTTATTTTCTGTGAAGCATTTAGTCATGTGCTATCACTGACTCATACACATTTGCCAGCTGTAACAAATTTTATAGACGTTTTCTCCAGAGACATAGCTCATATACTATGAATTTTTAAATGAGCAAATGGTGAAGAAGGGATGTCAGCAATATAAAAATTGATCAGTTAAAAGATAAAAGCATAAGTAAAGAGATTTGTATGGTAGTCTTAATAGGTTTTATTAAATAAAAATACTATAAAAAGACAGTAATGAATAGACTGAAGGTTTTAACTGTGGTTGAGGTGGAGAAAAATTATTCTGGCACATTTAGTAGAAGATTGGTTTTATATCACCTGACAGGTGAACGTTTTTTTTCTCTCTGCTTTTTAGATCTGTAAATGTTTTAGAGCAGTCAGAGTTGGGAGAGGATGGTGGGGGAACTTGGAGGGGAAAGGAAATTTGGGAGGATTGAGCCCTTTTAGTGCCAGGGCTGGGAGAGGCCGTGTCCAAGGGCAGGGACAACCCTCTGGGGCAGCTCTGGGGGACTGCAGCCACTGCTGCCCCTGGGAAGGAACCCTAAAACTGGAGCTGAGGAGAGGAACAGGCTGGGCCTGCACCAGCCACTCCTTGTGCCACAGCCCAGGCACCTTCTGCTCCCTCCCTGAGCCCTTTTCCAGCTGCTCTGGTCACTGCCATCCTCACCCAGGAGTTCCCTGAATGTTCTCTGTGCTGTGATGGAGCTGAACTTACTCAGGAGCTCTGCATGGAAAAATCCTGAGAGAGAAAAGGGTTTCTGGGGCTTTTAAGAAGACCTCACTCAGAGGTGAGGCAGGGTGGGATGGGATATTGGAAGGAATTGTTCCCTGGCAGGGTGGGCAGGGCTGGCACAGGGTGCCCAGAGCAGCTGTGGCTGCCCCTGGATCCCTGGCAGTGCCCGAGGCCAGGCTGGACAGGGCTTGGAGCAGCCTGGGACAGTGGAAGGTGTCCCTGAGGTGGGACTGGATGGGCTTTAAGGTCCCTTCCAACCCAAACCATTCCATGATTCTTTGTTTGGAAAACAAAGCTCAGTTCGTGGGGATTTTTGTGGGGGTTTTTTGTTTGGTTGGTTTTTTATGAATCTGGGCAGCTTCTGTTTTTCAGGAGAGCTCAGAGTGCTGGGCAGAGCTCAGCACAGCGAGCTTGGCATGTTTGGGTTCTTTACTCACCTTACAGTCCAATGCTGCAATCTCTGGTTAAAGGGAAATCAGTCCTTTCCTTTATGGAATTGCATTTACAAAAAGTAAACCAGTTTGTAATTGAATCTTTTCCCTGATATCTGCTGTGCAAGCTTGGACAGTTTCCTGTTGTGAGCAGCTGTGGGTTTTTTGTTGATAATTTGTGTACACAAATGATGTTTATTTGGAATAAAGCTAGAAAGTGGTACCTGAGGCCAGGTGGGATTGGATTCCTTTTTCTGGAGTAGCCTTGTGAGTCCTGGCTTGGGGCAGAGCCTGGGGTTGGTGCTACTGTGCAGTCCATGGCAGTGTTGCTGTACAGTCCATGGCAGTGTTGGTGTGCAGTGCAGGGCAGTGTTGGTGTGCAGTCCATGGCAGTGTTGGTGTACAGTCCATGGCAGTGTTGGTGTGCAGTCCATGGCAGTGTTGGTGTGCAGTCCATGGCAGTGTTGCAGTCCATGGCAGTGTTGCTGTGCAGTCCATGGCAGTGTTGGTGTGCAGTGCAGGGCAGCGTTGGTGTACAGTCCATGGCAGTGTTGGTGTACAGTCCATGGCAGTGTTGCTGTGCAGTCCATGGCAGTGTTGGTGTACAGTCCATGGCAGTGTTGGTGTACAGTCCATGGCAGTGTTGGTGTGCAGTCCCTGCTGGCAGTGTGAGATCCCCCTGCAGTCACACTGCCAGGTGGGGAGAGCTGAGGACACCCTGCCCCACCAGCCCTGAGCCCCTGGGGTTTGGTGGCAGCCCAGAGGCTGCAGGCTGCTGGAAATCCCCCTTTGTGTGCTCAGTCTCATTGTGAATTCTCCCTCCAGCCCTGCCTGGTGGGGCAATCACTCCCCAGAGCCAGCAGCCCTCGGGGTGCTGGAGCAGAGCTGCTCATCTGCTGCAGGGACATTTGGCAGCCTTAGCACTCACAGGCACCTGCTCCCAGAGCTTCTCCACATGTTCTCATTCCCTGAGTTCCTTCCTGCCCTTGCACACTTTGCCTTTGCTTGTCCCAGCACCTGCTCAGCCTCACCCGGACTGGCCCTGCCTGGCTGAGGGCTCAGGTGTGGCTGACTCTGGGATGGCTCAGGATGACTCTGGGATGGCTGTGAGTGACTGGGATGGCTCTGGAATGGCTCTGGGTGATCCAGGGATGTCTGTGAGTGACTGGGATGGCTCTGGGATGGCTCTGGGATGGCTGTTCCTCTGCTGCAATCCCTGATTGGTCTCCGATGGCACAGCCCTTGGGGATTCTTATTTATTCTTTTATTATTGATAGCAAAAATCAGCATCAGCTTCTCATCCTGGTAGCACATTCTGTTCTGCTTTGCCATCACTGCCAATGATGTAACACAGGTGCAGCCACTCACTCTGAAATCTCTGCTGAGACACCGTGTGTGAAGGAAAAGAGGTGCTGGGTTCTTTAACCACCACAGCAATTTATTTAACTCATGTTTGACGCAGGACTGGCACAAATTCTGTCATCACACCACTGCTGTTTATCAATGCCACATTTCTGTGTTTTCCTCATTCACAGGGCACAGCCAGGCTGCTGGGAGTGCTGCATTCCTGACCTCACTCCTGGACAGAAAGAAGGAATCCCTGGGCCTGCCCGTGGCCTTGCCCAGCACTGAGGCACAGCCAGAGTGACCAGGACCAGGTCACACGTTTACTTCTTGTAAACCATGTGCCGAGAGCTCTGGGATGTCCTGCAGGCTGCAAGGCCCTGAGGGGAATCAGTTGTTTCTGTGCGCGTGGGATGTGACAAACTCTAGAAACTCTGCTCCTCCACTGAAACATCCTGTGCTGTTTCTCCTCAGCTTGTTGCTGCTTTGGCTTCTTGTCCTTGTTGCAGTATTTCTCCTCACCAGTTTGTTCCTCCTCTGGTTACTTGTCCTTGTTCCTCGAAACATCCCAAAATGTTCCTGCAGCTCTGGGCAGAGGGGCTCTGCCTTGCCTTAGGCTCTGTGTGTGTTTTACTGGACACCACATCCAGAACTCCAAACAGATCCCATGAACGATGATGCTGCTGTCTAATTGCTATTTATTTTAGTCATTTCTCATCTCCCCACAGGCATTATGTGAAAAATGCATTCCACATCAACCCAAACTTCTCCATCTGCTGGACTGGACTTAAAAGGAGCGAAGAACTGAGTGTAAACCAATCTCCCCAGCAAATCCCAGCTGGGGAGCGCTCGCTGTGCCGGGCAGGTGCACGTCCAGATAACATTTCTGGCATCTATTTCAACTTAACAATGTGCACAAGCAGATAATCTCAATGTAAATAATCCACCCTGGGTGCTGTGCAGCCCTGTGCCAGTGGGGCTGGTGCTGTGTGGAAATTAACTGTGGCTTCTGGAGGGTTTCTCCAGCACTGCCTGGGCTCTGAGGCTGGAGGGAGCTCTGCAGTGCCAGGAATTAATTATTCCCACCCTGGGAATGTGTTTTAGTTGTTTGCAAACACTTTCCCTGGTGGTGCTGCCACGGTTGGGGACAGATTTGTCACCCACATGAGGGCTCCTCTAAAGTCAACCCCAGTCCCAAGATAAAAAGGCCTCAGCCTCCAACCCAGCATTAACACACAGGGCTCTGGTAACATTTGCTTTTAGGTCAACATTTGAGTTTAGTTTTGGAATCTAATGCTATAGGAAGAGAATTGTTTTATATAAACCAACTTTTTTTCTAAACCAGCTGCTTTTCTCTTTCCTCCTCCTCAGCCTCACCCCTGCAGCCAAGTGAATCCCCTGCATCTCAAATCCTTGCAAATTAGGCTGAAAAAGTGCAGTAAAATTATTTGTTCTTATCAAAGTCCAGCATCAACATTAACACTTGAATGTCCTTTCTACCACTGCAAAGTCCCATCCTCAAATAAACTGATTTTTATAACTAAAATTCTGAGCACCAGCATGATAATGTGTTCAGGGTGTGGCTGAACACGCACACGCTCAAGCTTTGGGAGTTTTGAATTAATAAAATGGTTTTGCACTTCAGTGCCTGTGCAGTCTGACTGGGAAGGTTAGGAAGTGTTTGAGGGAGTTGTGTCAGTTGTTCTCATTTCCCCCTGGTGTCTCAGGCTTTCAGCTGGGGCTGTGTGTGTGAGGTGCCCCAGCCCTGGCTCTGTAGGCTGAGGGTCCCTGAACGAGCCAGTTTCTATAACCTGGCTGTAACCTCTGGAGCTGAAAATGAAATAATTATTGACCTGAGAAGAATCTGGAACCAACTGTGCTGGTCCCAATGGAGCAGTTCTGGGCAGTCCTGGAAGAACAGCACTGAACTTGTACAGCAGCCAACAGCCAAGGTGCTGATGGGCAGCAGCGAGGCACAGCACAGCTTCCCCCGTGGCAATTATTAAATCGGGATTTTTAGGGAGATGGAGCTGAACACCGAGCTCCTGCTGCTCAGCCCAGCCTTGGAGCTGTCTTTGACCTCGTGCTGTACCAGGCTTTTGCCTCTGAAGCAGCTGGGGCTGTTAAGAACCATTTCCAGTTCCACACAAGGTGGATCGGGTGACTCTCACTTTATCACCCCCCGAGGCCACCTCAAGGACAAAGGAAAGGGATACACCCAAAACTAATGTTTGGCTATGGGGGAAGGCTGGGCCTGGGCTCTGCTGGACACGGCTTAACGAGAGAGAGCCTGGGCTCCCTGTGCTTCCACCCACCTTCATCTTCCCGTCACACCCAACAGCCTTGCTCAGGCTGGCAAGGAGCAGGCAGCGTTCCTTGGGGGAAACTCGGTGGCTTTGGGATTTCACAGCCTCTGGAGACAAAGATTCCTATTCTGAGCCCCAGCACCCCTGAGTGCCACTCAGCCCACACTTGCAGAAAGGTCGGGCTGTGGGCAGAGCTCCTGCATGCCACAGTTTAGAGTCAGACCCACAGAAAATCCTAAATCCTTGTGAAAAGATGGAAGTTTTGTAGTTTTATAGGAACTGTTACAGCGTAGGGAAACTGAACTGTGCTCACCCCCAATCTCCTCCTAGCTCCTACTCCAGAGCCCCTTTTCCATTCTCTGAGCTGCCAGGGGGGCAGGGTTGCCTGGGGGGATTTTTTCCACAACAAATAAGCCTGGAAAAAGTGCACAAATACACTGAGCTTGTGGGACTCCAGTGGCAGGGCTCAGAACTGGCCCAGCTGGAAGTTCCCAGAACAGCTGATTCACACACTGAGGCTGAGGGCAGTGACAGCCTGGAATGTGACAGGGGAAGCCTTTAAACAAGGGGGGAGCTTCTTTTGTATTTATATATAGATACAGGGAAAAAAAAAGGGTAGACTGACTCCTAATTAAACTATACGACCCTAAATTGCTTTATGATTTATTTTCTTCCTCCATGCTTTGTTATGTTTATAATTACTCAATCAATTTGTATTCTCTGAATTATTGGCTTTGGAAGCTGAGCTGTGCCCAGGGAGAAATTGCAGAGTAGAGTTCAGTTTACATCTGCAAATTGCTGTGCAATTTAATAAGGGGTTTGGGTATTTTCAAACTGCACTGCAGCACCTCAGCTTTTATTGCAGTACAACCAAAAGTTTTGGCTTTTCAGTCCTGTTAAAGAGAGTTGCAGCAGTTTTAGAGCCACACCAGAGCTGCTGACTCCCAGCAAAGGGGGACAGTGACTGATGCCACGAAGCAGGTTTGTGTCATGAAGCAATTCAGCACCACAACTTCAGTGCTGCCAGGCACGAGTTTCTACTTTACCTGCATTAGTTCCTTGGGCTTTTTATGCTAGGAAAGGAGAAAACTTCATGCTGCTTATGCTAATACAGTATTTTAACATTAATTCAAAATTTGGTCCTTTATTAGGCATTTTAGATTTACAAATGGTAACAAAAGTATAACACTTCCAAAGAAAACAAATCAAATCCCATTCCCAATGCTCTTCAAAATATTTCTCCTTTAAAACAGTCTTTGATTGTTTTGTGTTTAAATAAGCAGAAGGTTTTTCCTGGCTTTCCTTGAGTTGTGTCCATCACACACAGGCTCCTCTGCAGTGCTGACACCTCTCACTGAGCACTCTCAGTCCTGCAGCTCCAGCTTCATTAACTGATTTTCTTCTGCCCTCTATTCTTGGAGTCCCAGAGTATGACAACATTAAAATACACCAGGAACAGCAGGAAGTGCAGGCAGGACACCACAGCCACGGCCACAGGGAACAAATCAGGCAGGTGCTGGGGAGGAGGCACGGCAGCACTGAGCACTGACAGGACTGCCATCAGGGCCAGGGACAGCAGGAACTGCAAGACAAGGAGTGAGGGAACAGCTCAGACAGCCCAGCTGCCACCTCACTGCTGGGAGCTCTGTGCTCTTCCACATGGCACGAAAGAGTGACAGCCCCTGCTCCAGTGGCACTGCAGTGCTGGGAAAAGCTGCAAGTCAGAGCTAAAGGAATCAAATTTGCTTACCAGGCTCCTGACAATCCTGGGAAAGGACTTGAACCAGGACACATAACCCTTGAGGGAAAGGGAGAAGGCCTTGAGCTGTAGGTCCTCTGCAGAGGTCTTCTCCAGGATGGAGAAGGAGGCCAGGCACACGGCCAGGAAGGCGGGCGTGGTCACGGCGTAGGGCAGCAGCAGCTCGTCCTTCAGCAGCAGCGGCAGCAGGCTGGGGTGGGGCAGGGCCAGCAGGGAGAAGAGGGAAAACCAGGAAATACATTTATCCTCACTAGAACTGGGGCACAACAGGGTTTGCATGGGATCACAGATGGGTTTGGGTTGGAAGAGATCTTAAAGCTCATCCTGTTCAACCCTGACACCTCCCACTGTCCCAGGCTGCTCCAGCCTGGCCTTGGGCACTGCCAGGGATCCAAGGACAGCCACAGCTGTGCCAGGGCCTGCCCACCCTCCCAGGGAACAATTCCTTCCCAATATCCCATCCATCCCTGCCCTCTGGCAGTGGGAAGCCATTCCCTGTGTCCTGTCCCTCCATCCCTTCATCCCCAGTCCCTCTCCACCTCTTAACAGTTTCCAACTCACCTGAAAGTTGACACGAGTAGAAACCACGTGGCCATAAAGGGGATTTCATTTATGATTAAGCAGACTGGGCTGGAATGAGAAGGAGAAAAAGGGACATCAACTATTCCCTAATCAAACAGCACTCCCAGTCCATGTAGGATATCCCCATGGAACAGCAGTGCTGGTGACTGTCCCCACAGCCACCACCAAAAGGACAGACCAGCCTGGCTGTACTTGCACACCTTCATTTACAAGTGATTTAGAAAAGCAAATGAGCAGAGTTGTTAAAATCTGCTATATTTGCATGTGAAAGCAGCATGCCTTAATATGAAGATGAGGAAAAGATGGAATTTTATCCACAGAAAAATTAATTTACTTACACTGACACGAGAAGAATAGATTTTTCATGGACTTGAAAGGAGAACAGGAAAAATGACAAGGCACAGCTGACCTTAGGAGAGAGAGCAGAGATGTGTGAGCCTGTGACTGCACAGCAGAGCTCTGCTTTGGTGTCTGCAGGTACAGGGTCTGCATGGGGGCAGCACTAAACGAGCTGGGTTTGCTAATTAACTGCTGCCTTTCCTCCAGTGCAAAGCCCAGAGCAGCTCCTGTGAGCACCCTCATGTCTGGTTTGGAAGTTTATCAGAATAATCACAAAGTCCTGCAGGTAGAGCCTCACTCTTGCTCAGTTTCCCTGACAGGAACAAGGAATCACAATATTCCCACACACAGGCACTGGCAAATCCCACTTCTGGTAAGAATGACCCAATTTTTGACATAAAAGTTTGCTCCTCATCATCACC